TTACATTATTACTTATATTATATTAATACTATTAGAAGGCTGTCACTCGAAAACTAGTTGAGATCCAACCTTGAGATTTTAGTATGATATTTTTGAAGGTACAAACTTTCGAAAAATGCAACAAATAAAAAATCGATTTTCTTAAATTTCGCACTGGGTAAGGCTCTTAATAAAATGTAGGCAAATAACAGCGCGTAAATATTGAATTATTAGTACGTTTGATTTAAATTTCTCTTACAGAACCGATAATATTTCAAGAAATTTTACTTTTATGATATGTATAAAACAGTATAAACTATTCTAACTGGTGTTCGAATTCTTTCGTAAGGTGCAGACAGGTCGACGTGAAAGTACTTTACATAGTGATATGGTGAGCTAAATTTTGAAGTCGTTGCTCGGAAACCTTGTCATATATCCTCAAGGCCTACTTTCGTTGATCTCCTTTAATGGTCACATCGTGAACGATAGTAACTACGGAAAAATATGATATTGGCTAAGCTCATTCAAATTCCCCGCTTCTTAGAACGATTTTTTCCTCATTCTTAAAATAAATTTGCATAGATAATTAAACTAATTTTTTTCGTTTAGGAAGCACACAAAGCACAAAAGCCCTAAATACGGAATAAAAAAGATGATCCGAAACAGTTGAAATCGCTCAAATTGCATTTGGTTTCTGTACAATTGCATAAATTCATCTTCATGCTTGCTTGACCGATACGAGACTATGTGACAACAGAAATCCATTTTCTTTAATGCGACAATAAAGCCGCAAGGTTACGCTTTATTGTGAACCGTTGGTTTCAAAGCCAGTGTTAGATACGCTAGAGTTAACTAGAGTGTTACGAAACTTCGATAAAAACAAGAGTGTATATATGTTTAGCGAGTAGACACGTAGCCAGGAAATATTCAGCTACCCAGGCAAATATCGTTAGTCACTCGTCTTCCGCGTCAACTGAATCACCGATCATGAGCCCGCGGTTTAGTGATACAGGTTCGAATCACGTGACGTGTCGTCGGACCAAAAAAATTCCTTTATGTTCAGAGCTCGTAAAGATCAGACCCATTAAGTTGCGTTAAAAGGCACGTGAGCTCTGGAAAGTGAATCGCACAGTTAACTGTCAGTGCGAACAAAACACACAGAATCGATGCTGAAATTATCGAACTGTTATCGTTCACGATAACATTTCGCTCTGACTCATCGCCTGCATTTTATTAGTCAAAAGAGACTGTTTTGTATATCAGTCGATTAAATCCGTTTCCAACGCGTGACACGTTTCCATTGATTTCGCAATTCCGTGTGTGTTTAGTTTCGTGACTCTCACGAGAAAGAGAACGTTCCTGAGAACCCTGGATAAGCTTCGGTCGTGAGTAGTACAAAATGAACCATTTGTCTTACGGATGGAAACCGGAGGTGATCGAACCAGAGTTTGTACGACGCGAATCATCGAAGGCGGAAGTGAGTATTGGTACCAAGCAACAATTTTATTTTGGTTGACGGCCTGCCTGTCTGAAGCAGCTTCGCACGATAAAGACAGTAATTGGCGTCGTGTACATTGCGTCAGTTATGCAATAACGTTAATTGGAGCTTGGGTTACAAGGACGTTACTGGAGTTTAAAATATCGCGCTTCTTCTCTATGTTACTTCGTTCCGCGTTTCACAGATGGTGTATGCCTTATCCATTAAGCAACTTACACACCGAGAGCGAAAGATTGTGTAATAATAACTTCAAACGCACCGATTCATATTGTACACACGACATATTATGTACAGTCTATGGTAAGAAAGAGCAATTCAGTTAGATTATGGAGTACCCCTTTAGGACTTTACTAACTGGAAGCGTAGTAATCGACCAGGAACGACTTAAAGTATTTCTCAAATTTCTTACAGTTTAAAGATTCTATAGGCAATGATAGTGAATATTATTGACATCCTATCTTTCGCGTATTATATAAAAAAAAAATTTATTGGATTACTCCTGTATCCCTGGATAGTCTTTGCAACGCCGAGTGGTTGGAACTGCGAAGCGTTGCAACCCCCTTTTACCCCGTGGCCCCTAATTCTTACCACTGACTATACATACGTACACATTTTCTGCTTTAGGCAACGTCCACACAAAAAGTACAGAAATAAACCGAATAAAACCCAAATGGAATGTACACACTCGACCATGATATCTCTTTACACCGGTAGTTTCCGTACATATACACAGGCATGTAATTAAAAAATTCCGGCAAAGACGTCATGCATAAATTCAAGTCAGATTCCGATCGGTCCGTCCCTACTGACATTGACGTTTACCTTTAAAGCAAAGAATTTAAACAGGAAAACAATTGGGTATACATTATAGCGCGTGTAGCCACGCCATGTGACGAAACATGGGTGAGGGTAACAGTAAGAGGAGAATGAGCTCAGTTCGCGTCTTCACGGAGCTGTCAACGTAACGGTTCTACGCGAGTAGATTCTCCGCTGTGAATTCGCGCATGCAACGTGGAATTGATCGTGGAAATTATTGGACTCGGCGTGAGCGAGCCGCGTGACGTACGAACTGACCGACCGTGGAATAACGTGGGCTGGAAGCACGTTGCTGTTGTCGCCGACACATATTTCTCGAAATTCGTGATCAAAATACGGAAACGGGTTGGAAAGCTTTTGTAGTGCTCGGTGGTGATCGCGGTACAGGTTGATCGTGAGCAGTCAGGGCGTAGTCAGAGGATGAGTTACTACGGCAGTGGAAGCGGAGCACCTCTCGACGATGTGTTCGTTAAGGCGGCGGTCGAAGTCAAACGATTCCTACCGTCGCTTTTCAACATCAAAGTGGTACGCGTCTGACTTAATGAAATTTTAGTCAACATTTTCAGATGGGCATCCTGGCCCGGTTGTTTTAATGCCATCCATTCCGGTTTGGAAATTCCTTGAGAAACTGGTTTTTGAATGACTTCGCCCGGAGGACGACGATATTAATGTTGCACTACGCGTAACATTTTGAGACAAATAACTAATGTAAATTGTGTGATGGTCTTTTGGCAGGATTATTAATACACTTGTTACTTAAAATGTTAACACTCCTATCTGTACATCTACTTACAAAATTTCGTAGTGTAATATAAACTATTTTAGTAACTAACATGACATTTAAGAACTTTAACTATTAATTGTATCGATGAAACCATAAAACTCCTCGCAGTAAAATAATTATCCTGCAATTCTACATCAGGAATGATACTACAATTACTTTTACTTTAAAGAAATAAATAATGGACATGATTGTATGAAAATAAAAATAAATGGAATTTTCCGCGCAGAGTTCTATAGTATTAATTATTTCTCTCACATCTGCGCACTGTGTCACGTTACTAATTCTTAACAGTATCCTTCAACTCGGAACTGCACGTAATCCGCTTAATTTGTTGTGTTACGTACATATCTAGTTTACCAATTACTACTTAGGTAGCCTGTGTCCGTATTTCGTCACGATTATCTTTGACCCAACGTACTCTGCTATTTATTAATAATCGGCAATCTCACGTTTATCAATATGTTAATTCTATCTCTCTTCATGCGATTACGCGGCAACGTATTTGAATTACGAGATATGTATGTACTTGCAGCAGTAGGAATAATAAAAATATAATATTTCTGCTTGAATTAATTTTTTTAACACACGCGTCACCTACAACAGCGTGCAAGTTCAATATATAATAATGTGTTGAACGTAAACTTTGGATGTAATTTTCCTAATGAATAAGCTAATCTGAATTAATCTCTACAATATATAAAGTAAAATACTTCAGTTAAAGGGGATTACTTAATTGAATTGCACGTTTGAACTCGCTACATTTGGACGTTAACGTCTGACAGGCTAATCTAATTACTTTAATCGACGCGATGTTCTTTGAATGAATTCAGGAGAATTTACATAATGTAATTGACCCAGAGATGTTTTGCGTCTTGGGAACAGAGAAATTTCACATGAGAAATTAAACCCAGCGCATTAAATTGTTCCCGTAAAATCGAATCGTGCGCTACGATGTACATGATCGAATGATTATATTCAAGGATGATGATGCTGATTGCGACACTTGAATTATGCGTACGCGTTCTCTATCCTTTGGAACGGAGTCCCCTGCAGGAATTATGATTAAACGGAATACTCTCGTCATGCGTCACATACACATACTTTGCTACTCATTCAATAAACGTGCATAGTAAAACAAAAAGTATTTCAGATAAGATTCTTGTATTTGTGTGCACTTTGCTGATAAAAAGTATTCGCGCGCTTATCAGACCAGTTTTGTTTAATTAAATATTAGATAAGTATTACGTATGTTAAATGCACGCGAATAAAATATGCGATACAGGCTTTTCCGTTTTCGATAAAACTTCCCATGAGACTTTATCTACAAAGGTGAAAAAATATCGGTACATAAGTCTGCTGAATAAGGCTTAGGCGTGAACTGTACATATTTGAAATTCATTTTTTGATAAATTAAACATTTGCTAAGCTTTAGATAATAAGCTTTATCGTATTAATAACCAATGAGTTACTTTTGATTGGGAGACGTATAAAAACGTCATATTTTTCCAACTGGTTAAAACTTTCGAACACTAAATAAGTCTGACAAAGAATTATATATTGCAAAAAAAAGATTGCACGTTAGGAAAATGAAAAGATATACCACATTCTTTAATCAATATTCTATTCTTCATCGACAATTACGGAACTAATTTAATAAAAAAAGTAAAGTATCAATGATCAATTTTCAATTAATAAAGTGACTAATTTTCTTTATAATGGCTAGTTTAAGATTTCTGTACAATAAATACTGTATGTTACTTAAATTACCTACCTTTATGTACATCGAAGAGTATATCTATCTATATTTTATTACAGCGCCCTATTTATATCTAATCATTTAAAGTATACAATAGATGTGGTCAGATCCTTTTCCGGTAATGATAATATATCGTCGTAACATAAAAAGGATTTGCCTAGTATGGTTTCATGTGCGATCGCGAATAGTTCAGTTTTCTCATTACAGTGAAACTACATTAAAATTCACTCGTAATTTTATTAATACTCCTTAAAAAAATAATTCTGGTAGGACCATACGTTCAATGCGTATCAAGTCGATTTTGTTCAGAAAAGATTAGTAGAATGCAGCAACAAGAAAAAGACAAGATATATCACAGATATCCGAATTATTTCGGAGAAAATGTAGCTCTGTTGAAACGATCATCAGAGTGTGAGAAGAAACTAGATGTATGGTCTACTAATTACAATCAGAAAAAATTACCATATTCATTTGCAAATTTGAACACAATAAGAATAAATTCACAGTTAGAGATACCGTATAATGATACGCCCATAAAAGGGTTGAAAAACTACATTGGGAAAGCTTGCTACAACGTATGTTATATTTCTTAGATCTCTCAACTAAAAATTAATACATACGATCCCTGGTGATAAACGGTCAAACTCGGTAAGGTGTGCAAAGGACGTTTTCTCTGTTTTAGCTAGGAGAAAAGGGTAGTGGGTTTAGACCACGGGGAGCTGTGCAGGATTTCAACACTCTACGGCGAGAATGTTTATCAACGGGATCGCTTTTCGAGGATCCCGAATTTCCCGCCGATGATTCATCGTTATATTTCTCGAAAAGACCTGACCGATACATAGAATGGAGAAGACCAATGGTAAGCAGATTTTTATGCAGAATAAGACATTTGTGATATCCATTTAAAAAATATTTTTTAGATAAACATTTTTTTACCATTTAAACATCGACATGTGCATGTCTTTGATATTTTGAATAGCTTTATACATGAGACGTAGCATTTATACTTTTAACATTTAATTATCTTATAATTCTGAATTTGAAAAATCGTATTTTGTTGCAGGAAATCGCGGACAACCCTCAACTATTCGTCGAGGGTTTCTCCAGATTCGACGTCCAACAGGGCGAACTAGGAGACTGTTGGCTGTTGGCCGCGGTTGCAAATCTCACTATGGATTCCAGTTTATTTTTCCAAGTAGTCCCGGAAGATCAAAGCTTCGAGGAAAACTACGCTGGGATTTTTCATTTCAGGTATTCTATTCACTAACATTAATCATCATTCTTTCAAGATCGTCAGTTCATTCGCGGAATTATTTATTACTACGCTGTGCATTTTTTCCATTTAACTGCAAATAGCCGAATGGTACTTTATTCGTAAGAATTAAAACCTTATTTCTTTGTTGTTCGAATGATCACACACGAACAGGTTTTGGCAGTACGGTAGATGGGTGGACGTTGTGATCGACGACAGACTGCCGACCTACAAAGGAGAATTATTGTACTTGCGTTCAGCAGAGAGCAATGAATTCTGGAGTGCGTTATTGGAAAAAGCGTACGCAAAGCTTCACGGCTCGTACGAAGCGTTAAAGGGCGGAACCACCTGTGAAGCTATGGAGGACTTCACGGGCGGCGTGACTGAAATGTATCAAATGGAAGAGGCGCCTCCGAACCTGTTTACTATTTTGTTAAAAGCATTTGAAAGAAATTCGTTGATGGGTTGTTCAATAGAGGTAAATCTGATGAACGTTTGAACTGTTCTCCGTGCGTTGTTTGATTGCGCGCAATAAAACACGGTTGCTATTTTAGCCTGATCCAAATATATTGGAAGCCGAAACGCCTCAAGGACTCATCAGAGGCCACGCATACAGTATTACACGTATCAAATACGTTGAAATTCAAACGCCTAACCAGTATGGAAGGATACCTTTGCTCAGGCTTAGAAATCCGTGGGGTAACGAAGCGGAATGGAATGGCCCGTGGAGCGATCAGTAAGTCACCAAGCCGTTTATATCTATCGACTCGAGAGACGAAACATAAAGTTTCGTAAACGATTTTTTCATCAACTAAATCTTTGCCTAACAGATCACCAGAGTGGCGTTTTATTCCTGATCACGAGAAGGAAGAGTTAGGCTTAACTTTTGATATGGATGGAGAATTCTGGATGTCGTTCCAGGATTTCACGCGATTCTTCACACAATTGGAAATTTGTAACTTGAATCCAGATTCGTTGACAGAAGATGATTTGAATGCCGGGAAGAAAAAATGGGAAATGAGCGTATTCGAAGGGGAATGGGTTCGTGGTGTTACAGCTGGAGGTTGTAGGAACTTTTTAGGTAAGTGGTCCTCTTACAAAAAGTATAAAAGTATTATAAATTAGATATTTTCTAATTTAAATCCCAACCTAAGTCGAATACAATTTCTTAATCAGAATTGACCTACTCTTATTTTCTGATGTGTTACAGAAACTTTCTATCACAACCCACAATACCGAATTACGTTAGAGCACCCAGATGAAGATGACGACAAGTGTACAGTAATCGTCGCGTTGATGCAAAAGAATAGGCGAGCGCAAAGGAGAATGGGCGCTGAGTGCCTCACTGTTGGATTCGCGATATACCACGTGTGTATTTTAAAATAAATTTGTAGGAGAGTCAGTTTTCAGTAATTTCAAGAATTGTGTGTTGGCTACTGTATGATTACGTAGTTGGAGAACCCGGATCGTTTACCGAAACCATTGGACATGAATTTCTTTAAATACAACGCGTCAGTCGCGAGATCACCAGCGTTCATAAATTTACGGGAAGTAACGTGTCGTTTCAAATTGCCACCCGGCGTATATTGCATAGTTCCGAGCACGTTTGACCCTAATGAAGAGGGTGAATTCCTACTGAGAATCTTCTCCGAAAACAAGAATAATATGGAGTAAGTATAATTTGAATGAAAATGACCAAGATTAGACTTCCTTTTATACATATAAAAATTTCACTTTTCAGGGAAAACGACGAAGAAGTTGGAATTGGGCAAGTTGACGATAGGGTAAGAGATTTATATTTTATCAAGATCTATTTATGCACACACGTTTGTTTATATTACTTATAAAGATATACAATGTTAATAACAATGCACGTTTGCACAAGCTTGATAATTAATTTTGTTAATCCACGGTATTAATATATTAGTTCAAATTAATGCTAAGCTTTTGCAATGTGAATTTTAAAAAATTGACTTTTATTGCGTAGATTTGTTGTATTTCTATGATATTAATTGTCTGTTGGTAATCTACATGATGCTCACGCGGATCGATGATTAATCCTTATTAATAATGTAATGCATAATGCACTTTGCACGTTTATGTTGCTTGGCTTCTAGGTCATTAACTCTAACGGTGATAACGAACAAGAAGGAAATCAGGTAGGCAACATGCATGGAAATAAACTTTAATTAATCCTCATCTAAATCGAGTATTTGGAATATTATGACTAATGACAATTAATTAAATTTTTACCATTCTCTGACAACTTTCATATAACAATTCTGTTCAAGACTAAATCTTAATTAAAAATGAAACTCTAAGTGAATTAACTTTCTTTAAATTTTAATATTTCTGTCTTCTTAAGGTTCAAGACGATCCACAAAACCAGAACACAGAAAAAGTTCGAGAATTCTTTAAAAAGCTTGCTGGTGACGACATGGAAGTAGACTGGTTGGAACTGAAGGAAATATTGGATTTCGCGATGCGAAAAGGTACATTTATTTACATACACGCAACTCTATTATATTAACCGCATATCATAGTATCTCAGTTCCAATTTGGACAATATTGAGCTATGTAAAAAGAAGCAAATGATAACTAAGATTTACAAAATTAAAGTAAGATTTTTAAAATTATTGTCCACGTTTATGTATTCTTTTTGTAATAAGTCTGCTTTACATAAGTGCGGTTAATATTAAAATATTTATACACATTCATTTAAAGTAAATCGTTAATGAGTCTTATTAGTACAGTTATTAATGTATTATTACGTATTATATTGTTCAAACGATAGCATTATACGTGTCCGTTTATAAAATTATTATATACTCTATTATCAAATTTTTTCATACATATAGAAATTTATTAAGTTCTTATTTTCGTTTCATTATGTTGATTACTTTGCTTAATAGGAAAAATGCTTCTCTATTTTGTGTAAAGCTTCCGTTATGCTTTTTCGTTTAATATTGTTTGCGTTTATTCGTGATAGTAGAATTTACGTAATTGCACTGCCTTGTCATTAATCACGTCAAAACACTTTTAAGAACACGCAAATAGTACCATGCATACCGATTTTATCAAACTGTTAATGCACCATTCCCATTGATTCGTATTCACCGTGAATCAATTACTCTGTGGACACTAATACATGCATACAATACGACACGATCCTACTTCTGCATGTCACACTACTTTCTTTATACATACATAATTACCTATGCATAAGTACATTTGGGTGTCTACATGAAATGGAAAATAGATCAACACTTTGTATTATCTAATTCTTAATAAACCATATTCTGTAATTAATTCCCCAATTTCAGTTGAAGTAATTTATTAATGTAACGATATAACGTGTCGTAGCTTATAATAGGTTCAATTAAGGATGTATACAGTCAATCCCAAAAGTTTATGCACTTTAGAAACGCACTTTTTAAAAAGAAATCAGACGT